GCCTCCCAAACTGATGGGATTACAGGCATGAGCCATCATCCCCAGCATCTCTTTTATTTATTTATTTTTTTTTTTTTTTTTTATTTAAAGACAGAGTCTCCCTCTGGCCAGGATGGAGTTCAATGGCACAATCTCAGCTCACTGCAACCTCTACCTCCTGGGTTCAAGCAATTATCTTGCCTCAGCCTCCTGAGTAGCTGAGATTACAGGCATGCACCACCATGCCCGGCTAATTTTTGTATTTTTAGTAGAGACGGGGTTTCGCTATGTTGGTCAGGCTGGTCTCGAACTCCTGACCTCGGGTGATCTGCCTGTCTCAGCTTCCCAAAGTGTTGGGATTACAGGAGTGAGCCACTGTGCCTGGCCCCAGCATCTCTTTTAAAACGAAAAGTTATGGAGTTGAAATATTTGCCCTCACAGGTCCACTATAATGCTAAACATAAGTGATATTTCATATGTGCCTTTATTTAATCCTCATGACTCGACAGTAAGGTTGTGGTTGATTTATTTACAGATGAAGAAACTGAATCATAAAAATTCAGTACTTATCCAAATTAATACAAGTAGTCTCAAAGTGGTGGAGCTGAGTTACAAATTCAAGTCTGCTGGTTCTAAAACCTATCTCTTTCTGCCACTAAGAAACCTCCGGGTGCGGTGCCTCACGCCTGTAATCCCAGCACTTTGGAAGGCTGAGGCAGGTGGATCACGAGGTCATCCACCTGGTCTCGAGCAGATCGAGACCATCCTGGCTAACACGGTGAAACCCCGTCTCTACTAAAAATACAAAAAATTAGCCGGGCATGGTGGCAGGCACCTGTAGTCCCAGCTACTCGGGAGGCTGAGGCAGGAGAATGGTGTGAACCCGGGAGGTGGAGCTTTCAGTGAGACAAGATCGCACCACTGCACTCCAGCCTGGGCGACAGAGCGAGACTCCGTCTCACAAAAAAAAAAAAAGAAAAGAAACCTTTGGATGTGGCTCCTAGGAATCAAAAAATGTCCAAAGACATGACAAATCTGAAAGCTAAAATGTGGAATATCAAAATTTATATTAGACATTAGAAAGAACAGACAACAGGAAACAGAAAGAGATGAAGTCTGTCATAAATGAAGATGGACTCAGTGTTAGAACACAGAGACCTGGGGCCAAGCACGGAGGCTTATGCTATAATTCCAACTCTTTGGTAAGCCAGTGTGAGAGGATCGCTTGAGCTGAGGAATTCAAGACCAACCTGGGCAATATGATGAGACTTCATCTCGAAAGAAAAAGAAAGAAAAGGAGGGGGAGAGGGGGAGAGAGAGAGAGAGCAAGCAAGCAAGCAGAGACCCAAAACCTAACATATTCCATAATACTCTTGCAGACTTAGGAACCATTAGCTTGTTAATGTGAGTATGTTATGCTGGAGAAGTATGAGGAACCGGCATTCTCCTCTTTCGTGTACAACTGGAAGGAGTTAAGCTGCATAATGTCTCTGAAAGACAATTTGGCATTATGTTATGTGGCAAGATTAAAAGATACAAATATTCCTTGACCCAGCTATTCCACTTAGGGGAATTTACTCACACATTTACATGCAGAAAAAGTAAATACAAGGATAGTTACCGTATATAACGGCAAAAGACTTAGGTGTCTACTAATAGCAGATCAATTAAATATATGATACATTCATGAAATTAAATGCTATGTTGCCATTAAAAACACAGGCCAGGTGTGGTGGCTCACGTCTGTAATCCCAGCACTTTGGGAGGCCGAGGTGGGTGGATCACGAGGTCAGGAGATCGAGACCATCCTGGCTAACACGGTGAAACCCTGTGTCTACTAAAAATACAAAAAATTAGCCGGGCGTGGTGGTGGGCGCCTGTGGTCCCAGCTACTCTGGAGGCTGAGGCAGGAGAATGGCATGAACCCGGGAGGTGGAGCTTGCAGTGAGCCGAGATCGTGCCACTGCACTCCAGCATGGGCGACAGAGCAAGACTCCGTCTCAAAAAAAAGAGAGAAAGAAAACACAAAGGTAGGTCCTCTGAATGTGTTGATATGAATAATCTCTAAGTTCTTTTTTTTAAGGCTGGCCAAGTGAAGCAGTGGGTAAGTTCTACAATTAAGTGAAAAAAGGAAGGTACTAAACAGTGTGTACAGCATGATACTATTTGTCAAAAAATACACATATACACAGATATATATTTGGTTATATGAGGATATATATACAGTATATACACATACAGCTTTAAGAATTCACAAGTAGCTGATATTGGTAGTTGCTTTGGAAAAGGAAAAGGAGGGACTAGGGAAAGGGGTAGAAAGATCTATTTTTTCACTGTATACACTTAAATGCTGTTTGAAATGTTTGCCTTTTTAAAGAATTACTCATTCAAAAAAATTAAATGAAAACGATCACAAGAATGAGTTACAAACAAAAACTATGACTGTGTGACCTTACAGACATACACACAAGCCTGAAATAGTATCCACCTACATCCTTACCCGTGTCCACTGGCTCTTTTTCCATATAAAGCTCTCTCAAGTTCAGGCATTTCCCTAGGGGGGCATTCTTCTTTTAATGATAAGTATTTTATTTTAACTTGAAGCACAATTGTTCATCAATTGCTCAAATCTAATTTCTTCCTATGGCAAACCAAGACTCATCCCTCCCTAAACATTGATGTCTCTTTCCTTTAATGTAGTTCCCCAATTAGAGGAATTTGCCTAGAATAGCTAGTTTTTCTTTATATACTTTTATATTATATTGTATTCTATATTACATGTTATATTGTATCATTACATATTATATAATATATATTACATTATATCATTATATATTATGTTAATATAGATTAACATAACATATGTTAACATAGTATGTATTATATATTACATATATTTATATGCTAATCTATATTATAATATAGATATTATATAATTGTAATATCATTATACTAGTGTTCCTTACTGTATTCTTTTGAAAGAAGAAACTATTAGAGTCCATGAGCCTCCAAGGAGAACTGCCTCCACAATCACACTACGTATTCTGCATTTCTAGGTCCATGTAATACAAAATGAGATTAGCTATTGCTAGGGATTCCCAAAGGTCACCCAAATGGTTTGGTCCCAGAACAAACATTATTGAGGAAACACTGCCCCCTGGTGTTACTTAGAAAGTTTAAATGTTTTAAATGAAATAGATAAAATATGGGATGGGGCCAGGCTTGTAACACCAAGGCAGGAGGATTGCTTGAGGTGAGGAATTTGAGACCACCCTGGTCAACACAGAGAGACCCCCATCTCTACAAAAAAAAACTTTTAATTTTATTTTTTAATTTATTTTTAAAATTTTATTTATTTGCAAGATGGAATATTTCACAAGAAATTCAATTAAAATAAACAAATGTGAGTATATGCTAAGCACTGTTGATAGGCCTTAGAAGTTAATAAATGAATAAGTAATTCTCTCAGCACTCAGTTCTAGTTTTACTGGGCTCCAAATCAAAAATAAACATCAGCAAACAGTTTCTCAAAAAGTCTTTCTATCCAGTCTTCCATTGATGCCAAAGCATCACATCCCCGGTGGGAGACTAAAGAAGAAAAAAATGATGTCCTCTTGTCTTCCAATCCCTCTGCTAACAAATATATACTCTTAGGCTTCGCAAAGAAGACCCTGTCCCCTAAGTGCTACTGACTGAAACCCTGTCTGTTATTCCAGAAAACTAGTCTTTAATGTCCACTCTTCATTTCTAATAAAATCTCTTGGGAAACATAAAGCTATGAGTTAGTAGAGGATATTATCCCCTTACTCTCTAAAAATGAGGCTTTGGACCAGACTATTCTGGGATTCAAATTCCAGCTCATTTATTCATAAGCTGATGGCCTTGGACAAGTTACTTTCAATCTCAGTATCCTACTCTGAAAAACAGGGACAATAATACTTATCCTGAAGGACAGCTGCAAGGATTAAATGATGAGATCATGTTTAGAAAGGTACCTAACACTGGTACATATTCTACCCTGTTGCCAGAATATTCTTGATAAACCATGAATTGGATCATGTAAAATTCCTGTTTAAAGTTTTTCAGTGAATCCTGTTGCCTTTGAGATAAAATCCAAACTCATTAGAATCCTTCAAGATCTGGCCACTGCCTCCCTCATTTCTCATTCCTTCCTATCTACACAGCAGTCATGAAGTTCCCGAACTTGCCCCTCACTTACACATCCTTACACATCTCTACACCTCTCGCCTACAATGACTTTTCTATTTATTTTATCCTACTCATCTTCAAAACTCAGCTCAGTAACGGTCTCTTCAAAGAGGTCTTCTCCAATCCTCAACCATCCAGGGTCTACCTCAATCAAAGAACCTATCATACTTTATCATAATTTCCTGTTTGTCTTCTCACTAGATTATGAACTCCAGGAAGAGGCTATATTGTTTCAGGTCTGGATAACCAACAATCAGCCCATAGTAGATGCTTTTAAAATGCTGAATAAATTGGCTGGGCACATGGCTCATGCCGGTAATCCCAGCACTCTGGGAAGCCAAGGCGGATGGATCACAAGGTCAGGAGATTGAGACCATCCTGTGAATGGTGAAACCCCATCTCTACTAAAAATACAAAAAATTAGCCGGGCCCGGTGGCGGGTGCCTGTAGTCCCAGCTACTTGGGAGGCTGAGGCAGGAGAACGGCGTGAACCCGGGAAGAGAGAGCTTGCAGTGAGTCAAGATCACGCCACTGCACTCCAGCCTGGGCAACAGAGCGAGACTCTGTCTCAAAAAAAAAAAAAAAAAAAAAAGCTGAATAAATTAATTAATGCAAAAAGACACTCAATACTCTGCTCCTTTTGCAAGGAAAGGATGTAACAGTCAAGAATCCTTTTTGTCTTCTGTATAGTCAAGGAAAGTTTTCTGATTGGAGAATTTCAAACAAAGTTTGCAAAAAAATAAAAGCACCTAAAGCTTCATCTCAAAGCAACTGGCATCCCTCCCCAAACCCCATATTCAAATTGCACTTACCAGTGAAGGACTAGCTAGGATGCAGTGGAAATTCCAATAGAAGGGGAGGCCAGAGAGCTCACTCCGCACCCGTAAAATTAGTGCATCTGCCACATGATCACAGGTGAAGGTAGCTTCACTAGGGTGAGCAGCGTCCTTCAACAATGGGCGAAGCAGATTATCCAAATGACAGAGGAAAGCCGCAGGAGGAGCAGTGAGCCGCTTGTTCAGCTCCTAAAGAGACAGCAGTGGTACACAGTAAGGGTGCTAATAGGAAAATAATTCCCTCATAAGTAACAGCAAAGGAAAGCCCTGGTTAACATGAAGACAACGGACATGAGAGGAAGGGGACAGAAGATAAAAACATCACAACGGGAAAGAAGAAAACAAAAAGAAGACAGTCACAAAGATCAACTGGCCTACTTCAAAATTCTGCCTTGGGCAAAAAAAAAAAAGGTCTATCTAGATCAAATAATATATTCATTATCATGCATAGGGTAGAGAAACTAACTTTTTCTCTCTCTTTCTCTCTCTCTCTCACACACAAACACACACATGAAGATTCCCAGGGCTACAGGCAGAAGTACAGGACATTAACTGGAATTGTCTCAACCCAATTCAACCTTCCTTGGGAATCTACAGGCCAGCAAGCTGGTTGATGTTCACATCCCCGACCTTCACTAGGAAAGAATGGTATCCCCCACCACCTCACAGCAGTACTTCTCTTCATACTTACCTTGGCTCGCTGGCTGACCACACTAGTGTCCACCTGTTCATGCCACACCTGTTGAAGATCTGAAACTAACAAGGCATAGCCCTGCTTGCTGATAAAAACCTTGGCCAAGAGGGAGTTCTCAGCAAGCTGTAGCCACGCCCACGGCTGCATCAACAGGCCTTGCTCCAGTTCTTCCATCTGCAAAAAAGTCCTCATTTAGTAAAGTGCCTCAGGCTCATGCTGGCCTAAGAAGGGTACCACCTAAACCACTCTGTATCAACTAAAATCTCATGAAAATCCTCCCTGATAAAACAGAAGGCATGGATTTACGTTCTCCCAGTATACACCCAGCTGATCACTGACTTTACTACCTTTGGCCACTAAAAGTATATTTAAAATCTTGAGGGTTTTTTTCCCCCATATTATGTTCCTAGAGGACAGAAAATCTTTCTTCCACAGTGTTTAAGCCTCAACATGTTGCTGTTAGTATTTCTGCTTTCTAATACTATAGCATAATGTGGAAACCTAAACCCTTCTTATTCCACCTTTATCACATTGCTAATAAATATGTCACTGCTATCCTTTCCCAGAACTAGAAGAGAAGGAATAGTTCTTGTCTTATAAAACATCATAAGTCATAGTGTCAGGGCCAGGAAATTCAAAGTGTTTGATCATTATCTAAAAACAGAGTTTAGGAAGCTCTCAGGATTTTTTTTTAAATCCCTAAAACAGAGATTCTTAATCTAGAGTCAATGCATGTGAATCTTCTAGAATTGTAAGAAAATGTTATGCATACATGTATATATGCATGGGGAGGGGGAAAGAGGTCTACAGCTATCATCAAACTCTCAAAGGGATCCATGACACAAAAAAGAGCTAAGAACCTGTGTCCAGGAGCAACAGAAAAGACCTAAATTTCATTTCAACAAGAACCAGAATGACTAGGAAATCATGAATACAAGGCAGAGCACATCACAGAGGTAAAGACTGAATTAATTTCCATTTAACTCTTCCTCCACATTCCCACTCCAGTGCACTGCCACCAATGACACCATGCCCAGCCTGGAACCCCTGCAAAACAACTTTTCTATCTCAGCAGCTAAAGTAGTAGGCTTAACCTAGTAGACAATCAGAACTACGGCTGCTTGACAGAGAATGTGATTGTTTTTCCTGTGGGGGAGAAAAAAAAGATGACAATTTCCTTCATTATTCCAGTCTACAAATACAAAATGAAGAGAAGCACCAGGAAGGAAAAATTTAGAATGTAAATAACGAAATTCCTTATTAAGTCTGATTAAGACAGTCATTTCCCCTAGTTTCTGAAGTGTGACCTTGTGACTTGTGACATAACATATATAGATATGCATACAGATACATATATATGGTGATCTTTCTTTACGGCATCCTCAAAGCCTTGTGTTTGGAGGATGGTGTTTCCGTCACATTTCCCACATGCTGCTCTTATGGGGACAGAAGTGGTCATGGAATGATTAAGCTAGTCCTAGCTGGACAAGAGCTCCACATTGCCAAAGGTCACAAACGCAAATAAAGTCGCCAAACCCTTTCATCTCCCTTATAGGCACGCCCCAGTGTACTCTAACAGTTGCCAAAATTGGATTTACTATTCTAGCCCATTCCTTCGGAAAGCCCGGAAGTTCAAATTGATGGGTTTTGTTTGTTTGTTGGGTAAAGGGGGAGGAGTTTAAAATGCGGCCAGCAGTAACCGACCCTATAAAAAGGCGGCCTGACACATTGTGCACCAGACCCCGGCTGCCTGCTCCCACCACACGCGTCCCGTTCTGCGTCCGAGGCCTCCACATTTCACCCTTTTCTTTTTTCCTTCAAGGCTGCCTTTAGCATTCACATTAACCAGATTTACGGGTTTATTTCTCTTGAGTGGAGGGGCGCTGAGGGGCATCCCGGCGGAGGGGTCCCTTGAGAACCTTTATCTGCATCGAGTTCCGCTCCTCAGCAATGACTCCTCTGGGCAGTTCCTCCGACGCCCTGCAGAGGGCAGTAGGGGCCCAGAGAGCATCCCGGCTGGGCCCCGCCCGGTCCCCCTGGGAGAACGCGAACCCTAGGTCCCATAATCACAGCCCCACCCCAGGAGCCGCCGGGCGTCCCGCTTCCACCCGCCCCAGCTAGAAGAGCCTTCGCCATCCGCCTTCCCATTTCTACAGCACTGGCTGCACTGGGACGCGGCTCGGGATCCTTCAAGAGGCAACAAAGCCGGCCACTGGAGGCTTCGTCGCACCAAACAGGCGGCCAAGGAATACCCTCATTCGAGCCGCACCATCCACGCCGGGCCGCAGCCGGCGGACTGCGCACGCGCGGCCCCGCCTACCCCCCGGAGGCCTGCCCTGGTACCCGGCAGCGCGCGCTCCCTCCAAGGAGAAAATGCCCAAGCCAGGCCCAACCCGCAGCGTCTGAGCAGCCCTTCGCTGGCTTGCTTCTGCCCGGACTCGAGTGCGATTCCACCTACCGTCAGCGGCAGCGAGACCGCCCACCCTCCTCGCCGCACGCACGCTCTCTTGCCCGCTCGCGCAAACCGAAAGGCCTAGAGTAAGAGGCCGATTCCCCCCCACAAGAGGAGGCAGGGTCTTGGGACACAGGGGCGGGGCCTATGCCTGGCATGGGCGGGGCTTCTGGGCCTGGGACGCTGATGAGAGGAGCGCCGCAGTGGCAGGGTAACTGGAGGAGAGGCCGGGCGGCCAGCTAGTAGAGAGGTAGTGGCGCGTCTTGGAGTCACGCTGGCCGAGTAGAAGGAATAGAGGGCCAGGCGTAGGAAAGGGGAGCCCGGGTTTGGATTTGTCAAACTTGAGTCACTTCTCTTCCCTCCCCTACCTGTCCAGTCTCTTTTTAACAAAATAAGGCATGGAAGTTCCGTAGGTAAGTTCTCTCAGGTCCTCCACCAGCACTAGAGTTGTTGAAGGAAGGAGTCTCCCAGGCATAAGTCCCATAATCTGATCTCATCCTTTACCTCTCCTGCCTCATTTCTCCATCATCCCCGTACTTATGCTCCTCACTACTGAGAAATTTGAAACCTCTCAGCTATCTTGGACTTTGTACAACTCATGGCTTTGCTCAAGCTGGACCTCGAACCTGAAAAACCAAAAATCCTCCTCATTTGTCAACGCCATCCTCATTGCTTCTTGCATAAAGCCTTTCCCACTGTCCCCAATCAGAATTCATTATCCCTTCCTCTTTGCTCCCACAGCATTATTTTAATCTTTATTACAGACTGCTTTCTGCTTTGCATTTTCGTTAGTAATTACAAAGGTCTTTTTAAACCGTAAACGCCTTGAGAGGGCATGGACCCTGTCTTAACCCTGTAGTTCCAGGACCTTGCACATGGGAGATGCTCAATAAGTATTAAAGTGAATGCTGGGGTTCAAGTGGCGTTGATAGTACACAGGCAAAATCTCATTCATTCATGGTCCGCTAAATCATGGCCTCTGCTCTGGAATAGTTAGGCCTAATTAAGACAAGGAAAGGCAACCCAACCTACTGGGAAATGGAACCTCTAGGCGGGCCCATGTAATATACACACACATACCCTCTGCCTACGAGAAAGAACAGTTTGGGAGCTGATTCTCCAGCAGATGAGAGTTAGTGCTAAATTAACCAGAGCAGAAGTAGGCATACCGGTCATTTCTGGGACCTAAACCCTTCTCTGCTAGATTCAGGGCATGGCTCCCCTGAGCCAGGAAGCAAGTCTGCCATCTCTTCTGGCTCAGAGGAGCCTCCTTCCTCATCCCCAGGGTCTTCAGGCAGTGGGCAGAGGCAGCGGAGAGGCTGGGGGATGCAGGGACACAGGTTTTGGATGGGGAAAGGAAGTCTGTACACTTGAGCAGCCTTCTCCCTGGGCTTCTGAGGCATTCGAGCCTCTTGCGCAGTGAAAACAGATGGTAGCCCTTGACCTAGGCCTCGCTCAAGCTGTGTGCCTGCAAAAGAGAGGTTTGTCAGGCCATTGCCCATCCCAGGGAGGGATGGCTTCCTGGCCACTCCCCAGTCTGCTGGGGCCTGGCCTCAACTTACCAGGAATCGTGTTCTCTAGTAGGAAGCCTGAGAGTCCCGCCAGGAAGATGGGCTGTGTCAGCAGTGAGTGCAGTAATACATCCAAGGGGCTCCAGCCTATGAAAGGTTGGGGCCAGGCAGGAAGGGAACTCTGATCCTATATCCAAGCCCAGGAGTCTTGCCCTCCCAGACCTAAACCTAAGTCTTGGACTAAGGACAGATCTTTCTGAATTGTCATTTCATCCCTCTCACCTGTCTAACCACTTTCCAAATCCAGGCCTTTCTCACAGGATTCCTGCTCAACACCCTATGTTCTGATCATCCACACACCCTCCATATATGCTTTGACTATTCCAGGTTCCCTTTCTCTAGAAAGCTTAGTATTTAAGCCCAACCTCATCTCCCAGTTTTTACCCTCTATGCTCTATCCTGGGTTTTTCAACCTCAGTCCTACTGACATCTTAGACCAGATAATTCTTGGTTGGGGGTGGTGGTACAGGGGGGATGTCCTGTACAGTGTAGGATGTTTAGCAGCATCTTTCTATGCACTAAACCCTAGTAACAACTCCCTCTTCCTCCATGTGTAACAGCCAAAAATGTCTCCAGACATTGCCAAATGTCCCCATGGGGGCAAAATCACCCAGTTGAGAACTGGGTGGGACAAATTAAGCAATTTACTGCTCTCAGGACATATCCTAAGACTTCCCACTTCTGTGTCTTTGTATAAATGATGGTTCCTTCATGAGGAATGACCTTCTCACCAAAGATGTTTAAAACTTACCATCCTTCAAGACCAGCTCTCTTACTGGATCACCTCAAACAGAAGCTATCTCTCTTGCCACTGAGCACCATAGCTCTTTATCTGAACCTTTCTTGTTATTTTCCTACACATCTCATCTCTTTTACTACGCTGTAATAAAGGGAGGCACCTTTGTATCCCAAATGGCTAGCATAGTGCTCAATAAATATCCATTAAACAAATGAATGAAGTATTTACACCAAAGCCCAGAGAAGGCTGTGGGGCCAGGAGCCGGGGGAGCCTGAGCCTCAACTCCTTGCTTTCCTGCTACTGAGCAACTCCCCTTCCCTTCCACCTACCTGTGCTGAATAGGACTGGGGCTTCCCGAAACCATCTTGGCAGCAGCAAGGCCATGAAGATAGAGAAGCCCACAATGAAGATATTTCGCCCAGAGTCTATGTCAGCCAGGTAGAAGCTGGAGAATCCAGCAGACAAAACCACAGCCTGGGTCACCCCCAGCACCCCACCTGTCTCATACAGAAGAAATCAAGGGGGTCAGGAGGAATCAAGGGGGCTCACATAGTGTGGAGTATTGCAGGGCAAGCAGGTTGTAATGGGGAAAAAATAAAACCCAAGAGACTGATTTTTTTTATTATTATTATTTTTTAGAACAAGTCTCACTCTGTCACCCAGGCTGGAGTACAATGGTGCAATCTCGGCTCACTGCAACCTCCGCCTCCTACTCCTGGATTCAAGCGATTTCTCCTGCCTCAGCCTCCTGAGTAGCTGGGATTACAGGCATGAGCCAGCATGCCTGGCTAATTTTTGTATTTTTATTAGAGACAGGGTTTTGTCATGTTGACCAGGCTGATCTCGAACTCCTGACCTCAAGTGATCTGCCTGCCTGGGCCTCCCAAAGTGCTGGGATACAGGTGTGAGCCACCATGCCCGGTCTGAGGTTGTCTGATTCTTCAGGAAGCCCAGAAGCCCAATCAAGAGACCAAGATGTTAGGCTGAGAAATTGAGACTGACACATGCTCATATCCATCCATTCATCCATCCATCCATCCATCCATTCATCCAGGAAAGCTATTTAGAAAGAAAAGGTGCCGGCCGGGCGCGGTGGCTCACGCCTGTAATCCCAGCACTTTGGGAGGCCGAGGCGGGCGGATCACAAGGTCAGGAGATCGAGACCACGGTGAAACCCCGTCTCTACTAAAAATACAAAAAAAATGAGCCGGGCGCAGTGGCGGGCGCCTGTAGTCCCAGCTACTCGGGAGGCTGGGGCAGGAGAATGGCGTGAACCCAGGAGGCGGAGCTTGCAGTGAGCCAGGATCGCGCCACTGCACTCCAGCTTGGGCGACAGAGCAAGACCCCGTCTCAAAAAAAAAAAAAAAGAAAGAAAGAAAAGGTGCCATCCTAAAGAACTGATCGGGCCATACTGGGGAGTACCAGTTCAATACCAGCCCTGTTGATACATCCACTCACCAACCACAGGCAGCGGGATGGTGGTGAGGAGCTGAGCCAACCTTGGGGAGAGTCCAAGCCCCATGCAGAGTAGCCCCACTAAGTGAGCCACTTGCTGAGATCCAGCCTGCATGAAGAAAAGACACTGGAGACACAACCACTTCCTCGGACTGTCCCAGGTCTTTGCCTTACTGGTTCCTTCTCATCATTTGGATCCCAGCTCAAATGTTACTCTTCCAAGAAGCCTCCCTGGCCAGTCTAAATGTGCCTCCTTTCCATCCCGCTATCCTGATTTTTTTATATAACACTTATCGCCTTCTGAAATTTTCTTCACTTTTTAAAAAATTTTTTATTTTTTGAGATGGAGTCTTGCTCTGTTGCCCAGGCTGGAGTACAGTGGTGTGGTCTTGGCTCACAGCAACCTCTGCCTCCCATGCTCAAGTGATTCTCCTGCCTCAGCCTCCCGAGTAGCTGGGATTATAGGTGCACGCCACCACACCCAGCTATTTTTAGTAGAGACAGGGTTTTACCATGTTGGCCAGGCTGGTCTTGAATTCCTAGCCTCAAGTGATCCGCCTGCCTTAGCCTCCCCACATGCTAGAATTACAACATGAGCCACCATGCCTGGCCCACTTTTTTTTTTTTTTTTTTTTTTTTTGAGACAGAGTCTCACTCTGTTGCCCAGGCTGGAGTGCAGTGGCCAGATCTTAGCTCACTGCAAGCTCCGCCTCCCGGGTTCACGCCATTCTCCTGCCTCAGCCTCCCAAGTAGCTGGGACTACAGGCGCCCACCACCTCGCCCGGCTAGTTTTTTGTATTTTTTAGTAGAGACGGGGTTTCACCGTTTTAGCCAGGATGGTCTCGATCTCCTGACCTTGTGATCCACCCGTCTCGGCCTCCCAAAGTGCTGGGATTACAGGCTTGAGCCACCGCGCCCGGCCACTTTTTTAAAAAGATACTTTTTTTCCTTCAACTGTCTGCGTCTCCCTCTATGAAGTCCCCAAGAGAGCAGAACTTTATGTGACTGGTTCTTTGCCCCAGCCTTGGTACTGT